TCTTGAAATCTAGCTGTAAAGTGAAGCACATGCTATTTTCTACTACATACACTGAGATGGGTTAGTGGCAGTTTCTTTAAATACATATTTCTTAGGCTTGTTTGATGGAGTGTGAAAGCTTTTTTTTCCCCTTCAGTCAGAGGCTAGAACTTATTTATACCTGTCAAACAAAACAAAATCTGTGCATAAGGCTGTCAGAATAACTCAGTTATTCCCCTGTCCCTGCTTTGTGAATTTTTTATGCCTTTCAAGTGTTTGTCACTAATTTAGCTGGTGTCACCACTTGATCTGCTTTCTGGATTCTTATTTTTATGCTGCTGTTTCTTTAGTCTCAGAGTCTTCATAATCTTTTTTTCCTGAGTATGAACATACCCTGTAAAGTGGGCTGTGATTGAAATATGGGAGGTTGGTAGCGTGGTCTGGGGGTAGTGGATGGGCTTGCCCCCCTCGGTGTCAGTGTTCCTTGCACCTCTGCACTTCTGCAAATAGTCATGGGATTTCTGAGTGTTCAACCTATGCATAATTTAACACACAGTGAGATTGTGTGCTGTGGGGTTTTATTTCTGATCTTAACTGTGACAAAAGGAACACGTAGCTCCTGGGTTTCTTGGGCGGTGGAGAAGCAAGAGGAGCGGTGATCTCACTGTCACAGCTCCTCACCCAATTAAGAGCATTGCAAAACCCCTGCTTGTATTGTTGTTCATTCTGTCAGGAACCTCTGGCTAAATTTCCTGGGGTTCACAGCGTTGGGAGTTGGAGAATTAGTTTTGCGGTTGAGATGATTTCTAAGTAAACTCTTAACTTAATCTTGAATGGTAATGTTCTGAGGAATTTATAATTTAGGTTAAAAACTATCTTTCAAAAGGTGAACTTTACTGGAACGGGGTTTTTGGTTTTGAGAACAAGTATGTGATTCATTTCAGCCTTGATTTGCTCTAAAGAACCTTTAAAATAATTTTTGTACTTAGATTTTAATTTTTTTTAACAACGCTATTGCGTACCTGTCCTTATGCAAGCCTGCGTAGGGTATCACCTTTGGAACAAATTAATTATCAGCAAAGCCATTCTAATGTTAATTTACTGTTTCAGTTGAGACTTTACATTAAAGTGCAGTCAAAGCGTTGAAATGTAGCAATGTTGCTACTGTAATAATTGCGATTATCTGACACATTTCTCCTTAAAGGTGGTGAAATTCATAGCCTGTTCACGTGGCAAGGATGTTTCACATCAGCAGCTGTAATTGCCTTGTGGATGGCTTTTCAAACTGTTGTACATTAGAGAATATATGAACTTCAGAAATTAAACGTTGTAAAAAGCTTTTTTACAGGAAGTTGCAAAATTAGGTCAATAAAAAAACCCTCCTATTTACAGGTCCCCAGTTGAAATTCCTGTCTGTTAACTTGGAAAGGAAAATCACAGAAAGAAACCTTTAAGTAAATTTCAGAAAGCTACCAGCATCTTTGAAAGTAAAGAGAAAGAAATAATTTTGTAAAATCTGTATTAAAAACAGGTTGTAGGTCTAGGATGTAGATTAGTACAATTTTGGCAGTGAGAGAGGAGCTGAATAAAACTTTTTGTACTGCAGCTCATCTTTTTAAACTGAACTACAAAACTGAGGACAGCTTTTCATTATTTTTTTGTGATGCCAAAATGAACAAGTACAGGCTAAAACCAGAACTGGGCGTAGATTTCCAGAAGTTGCTAAATGCGTGCTGAAAAGAGGTAGAATTGAAAAATATATCGAGTAACAGTATTAAATGGCTGATTGAGACTCGGGAGATTTTTCCCCCTCTGCAGCTTTGATGTTCTGCAGCTTTCAAGCAGTACAGGGCACGCGTTTTCAAGGTCTTCCACGGGTATTAACAAAGTCATGTACCATTGCAGGAGATGAACAGAGCTTACCCCTTCTGGGGTCTCATCACCGCTGCGATCTCCCGCGTTTGTGATGAAAATAGAAGCGGTTGGCTTGGGGAGGGGCTTCCCCCTTGTTCCCTACCCCTTTACTGGTTTAGATGACTTGGCTTGCAAATGGCCTGTCCAATGTGGTGCTCCTGTGCCTGCTGCAGAAGTGATAACTGTGAAGGAAAACAGCAGTGCAGATTAGTGCACAATGTCTGAGCTTTACGTTTGGAATTTCCTCCAGGAATCATAGAATCGTTTAGGTTGGAAAAGACCTTTAAGATCATCAAGTCCAGCCGTTAACCTAACCCTGCCATCCCACCACTAAACCATGTCCCTAAGCACCACATCTATCCTTTCGTTAAATACCTCCAGGGATGGGGGTCGTCATCTTATTTTGTTTTCAAATGTTTGCATCTGTCAGCCAGCTAAGCATCATCAGAAGTGGGTCTGTGCCAGGGAAAGGTGTTCGGAGGTTTGGTTTGGTTTGTTTTAAAAAGGTAAAATGCTTCTCTTCTCCAGGCATGCCCTGGGAAGCACAATCTGTACTGCCAGACGTGCCAAGAGAACTGGGTTTCCCGAGTGGTCTGCCACGGTCTCTACCCAGCGTGTGATGTTGGACAAATCACTTTACCTTACAGAACCTTTCCCTCTCCATAAAATGATTTACCTTTTGCAGCCTTGAAAAGATGAGTTTATTTTTTTGGAAAGGTACTCAGGTCTGTGCAACTGACAGATGATATCTTGTCTGGATATGAGGTCTCATGCTGTGAATTATAAACACTTTCTCCGTCTCGATCCTGAATATTTGACGAAGTGGGTGTGAAGTGCCTTGGGCAAACTTCAGCTCAAGCACTGGTGGGCTTTGACATCTAGAACATCTGAGGAAGGCAAATAAATCAGTGCATTGGTGTACAAAGAGAGAATATCACTTTCACCCCAAAAAAAAGGAAAAAAATACCGAAAACCCTGTGTTCTCTTAATAGAAGAAGCAACAAACATTACTTTTCTGCCTTAATCCTTCAAAAACCAATGAAAAGGTGTCATTCTCTGCTGAAGGGTATCATTTAGGGATATTTTGTTGCTCTGATTTTTAATTAATTTTCCATTTTAAACTGTTACTTGAGGGAAAATTGAGGACTAGCCTATGAAACATTTCTCTGACCAAGACAGAACTTGGTTCTGTTAATTGCACTGAAAGTATGCACATCTTGATCATGTTAGCAAGGATTTCTCTTGTAAGGTGGGGATTTTCTTGGCAAGACAAGCGCCACAGAGGCAGCCAGATAATCTCTGCATTTCTCATTACCAGATGCTGCAAAAACAGAGAATTCATGCAAGTGCTGCAGCTGATGGAGAAAACTCCCAAGCTGAGTCCTGAACCTTTTTTCGTGCCCTTGCATCCCTGCAGCTTTTCCTTTCTACCCACTGCTTCATCTGTCGTGGTGCCTTTCCCACTCTGTCCGATTCTCGTACACACTTTTACTGCCGCCTTTGACCACCTTGCAGCAAACTACTGTTTAATGGCATGAAAACAGTTCTGCAAAATGCTCTTTGGATAAGATGAATGAGCATTCAAGAGCTTTAGTGGAGTATGTTAGAGAAGCAGCAGCAGTGGTCAGGGGGGTTTAAAAATGGAGACACAGTGGTGGAGGGCTTGCCTCTTGCTCAAGCTTCCTTTCCGGTTAGTGAGAACATTTTCAGTATAAATCCTTAAAACAGTCATAGGACTACTTAAAGCAGTTGTGTGATGAAGATGTGTAGCTGTGATGTGCACGGCTTAAACCTTGGGCTTTGCTTTCATGTGCCTGGTAGGGGCCAGCCGTGGTGGCTAAGCCAGTGTCAGCTGTTTGGAGCCCATCTAGGCTCTCGTCTGCATGATTCTGGTTTTCAGCTTTGTTCAGCTGTTCTTATCGGTTTGGGTTTTCTGGTTGTTTGTTTTGATTTGATTTAATTTGTTTAGGGGTGGGGTTTTTTTGCTGGATTCTGGAAGGTCACCCGGTTCAGCTTGCTCTTGTTTGATATTTGCCATTTCCACCCACTGCGGCTGCCTCTTTTTGATTCAAGTATTCAGTCCTATCATGGATGCAGGAGAAGTGAGGGAGGAAACAAAATCAAATGAATGCGAAGAGTTACTTGAGTGTTTCATGCACATACTTTTGTTGCAGGAATGGCTGCATTTCTTTCTTTGCTGGTAGGTTAGGGTTTGCAAGCATACATATTAGAGACTGGGGGAATCCCAGTTAATGATGCAGCTAAAGATAAGTTAGAAAGTAAGAGCTGAGGAGACAGCAGCAGTTAAGTGGGTTTTTTGGCAGTCCATCCAACAGGAAGGGGATTCACTTGAATGTTTCCTTTTTTTTTTTTTTTTATTAATTTTTTTAAAGCAGAAGAAATACCCTCTTTTGCATAGGCTGGCAAAACTGCCTTGATGTTTTTTCTTTTTTCCTCTTACTTTTTTGCCCCAGACATGCTTAGCCTACAGGACTCTTCCTCACACACCTGCTACCACAATTATTTTAGGATTAGGCGATCAGAAATTGAGGGCATGTCTCTGCAGAAGGGACTGAAGAAGAAATTTTGGTTTTTGATTGCTCTGTGCTGATGGAGATCTTGGGGCACAGGCCAAACTGGAGATCTTGATATCCCTGCATATTCTCTTTTTGCGGCTGCAATATTCTTTCCAACTCTTATCAGTACTTTCAAGCTAAGCACAGTGGTTTTGATTTGCTGCTGCTTCGCCATTGGATGCAGTTGTCTGTATTGCTTCTTTTAATGTTGAACATTCCTAAGCTTTTTGGAGGACTTTCATTCTTTTTAGTGGTGACTCTGTCTACCAGCAAGCCAAGTTTGCCAAGCTACCTCAGAAAACGGTGAGGAATTGGGAGATGCTGTATTCTCACAATTGTCTATATTCAGCTTTCGTGTGTGCTAGAGGTAGGCATTGGTGTTAAAAAAAATTTCAAACCTTTTGCAGTTTTCAGAGGAAGATTTTCTTCTTCTCCTTTTGGAAGTTCCAATTGAGATCAGAATCCTCTGGGTTTAAATAGAGAATGCGTGTGACTGCATATGAGGTCTGTTTTGTTGAATTAGATCCATGCCCTTGATTCTAGCCTATTCTTTGGGACAGTCGTCTTTTTTTTTCTATTTTCTCTCTTGGAGAAGTTAAATCCAGCAAGGGATTGTACTTCAATACCCCGTAAAACCGAAGGTGACTTATTTCGGCCGGAGATCAATGTTTATATTATTACCCCAGAGGAGAATTTGCACCTTGTCAAAGCTGAAGAATTCTGGCATCTCCCTGCCAGCGCCTTCGTTTCTTTCTTAATCTCTGACACTCTTTTAGTACTTGTTAATTCATGCTCTCCTCACTATATTATACTCCGGTATGTGCACAGGCTGTGAATTCAGGTTTTTGTAGTGATGCTGTACTTTTTTCATGAGCTTGTGGTATAGTGTGTGGGTGGAATTGGAAAGGGAAACAATTAATTTTGGACTGAGCTTTAATACTTGACATTCTGCTTCCATCTGATAAGCAATATGAGTGGGATATCTTCAAGGAACATGAATCAGTTTAAGTCCATGCACAAGAGAGATGGGAACAGTGGTGCCCAAGTAAATTTCCACTCCTCTGGAGGGCATTTGTAAGATGGGCCTTCTAAGGCAGCAGCTGGCACATTGCACGAGGGTGAAGAAATAGGGGTGTGGAAATAACCTGGAGGAGGACTTCTGCATTAAATCAGCGTGAGGGAAAACCTGATGGGCAAGTACACTTTTTTTTTTTTTTTTTTTTTTTAAATTTTATGGACATAAGATTGTAGCACAGAATTGACAAAGCTTTGGCAGTAGCAATCTGCTGGTTCATTCTGTTCTCTGATGCAAAGAATGATGTTCCTTTTTTTTTTTTTTTTAAAAATACAGCGAATATATTGAATGAATTATCATTTCAGAATGTTTTTACCATTTTAATGTAACAGCTGGTCAAAAGGAACATGTAAATAAGAAGAATACTCTTTTCTAAAAAGTTAATTTAATTCTAATGATGTCAGCTACAGACAGAGATTAGTATGTGACTGTCCTGAACCTGGCTGTTGAGTCCTACCCAGCCGTGAGTTGTTAGGTATGGGGTAGGTGAGATACCCTGCTAGCGCAGGGTTCCTGTTCTGGAATGTTGGCAGGAGTTTGCTAGCCAACTAAACCTTGTTCATATCAGGGCACTAAACTGTAAGTCAGGATGATGAGGATTTATTTCCAACGTTGTATCACTCTCTGGAAGATTTGGCAAAAGGGTGTGGGGGTACAAAGAAACAGCTCTCCTCTCTCCTTTCCCCATTGGAAAATACATGCATCAAAACTTATTTTTGGCAGGAATATGCAGATTCCCGCCACTTTTAATACCGGTGAGGGAACAGCTTGAAATTTCTTGTTGTATTCCACCAGTGTTGAAAGTTTATTAAAAACAGAAGAGCTTTTGTTTGGATTTTTTTTTTTTTTTTTAACTTTAAAATGGCTTCAGTATAGCAGACTGTATTAATTTCAGCTTTATCAGAACAGTGTACCTCTTCTTACTTAAAGCTTTTGGCTGTGGTTTGGGTTAGGTGTACTTGAGCAAATTTACGTTTTTCTGAACTTCATAGCCATAGGATGCTCTCTAGGTTATCTGTTTGTCTGTGTTTGGTTATGAAAAGAAGGTACCTGTGAAAGACTCCCAGTTATTTTGCTGCAGCTTGCAAGAATGTAAATAAAATAGATTCCTCTTCAGGGTAGTAGAACATGCCTTTTCTTGGGGGAGGTTTTGCTGCCACGTCCTCATCCCCATCGTATGCCTGTGAAAGTTCACTTTTCCCCGCAGCCTTAAACCTTCTTATTGCTTAAGGCTTTCCAGGCTGAGCTGAAGAGACGACCATTTTGTACTACGAGCGGTACAAAAGATAGTGTGGCTTTAATGTTAATCAGAGTGCCTTTTTTGTGGGGAGAGAGGGCTATCATGCATATTAGATTGAAGTTGCCAAAGTAATAGTTGTCTGTACTTCAGCAATAGGTGTGCTTGCTGGTGTTTAATTAAGTACAGGAGCTGTTGATGTGGTGTGCTTCAGTTTAATAATCCAACTTTGAATGAGGTTAATGTATTTTTAGTTTATAGCTAAAGGGTGAAATTCAGCAGCATCTTTTTAGAATAATAAATAATTTTAAAAACCCTTTCAGCTGCTTATTCCCTTCTCTGTATTAATCCTCCTTCTCCTCCCTTCCTCCTCTGGAGTTCTACCACCCTTGTGAATAATGAATGAGCCTGAGGATTAAACTGTGTTTCTCCGAAGTGGACTCCTCTGCCTGTGTAAAACAGCTAACCTAGTTTCAGCTCTGTGCAGCGCTGAGAGATTTCTGCTTCTGATGGAAATAGTAGGGGGTTTTTTTAATCCTTTGGCATTCCACGTGACTCCTCTGTAGCATGTCTGACCCTTATTTGCTGCTGAGCAAGTTTCAACCAGCTGCAACTCTTGCAAATCCATTTCATTCATTAATAGATCTTAAAGGGCAGCGTGGATTCCGGCCTGCATGGGAGAAGCTATCAATATTTTACCACTTTCTCTGAAGATCAGTGACAGGAGCGCACCTGCCTTTTGTGTCCCGATCAGTGGCTTTATAGGCTTCAGCCAGCTCATTTCTGAGTCTTGTTTCGTGAAGGCAGCTTTGCCCCCTGCAGCTGCCCCTTCCCGTTAGTAGGGGCAGTGCAGCCTGGTTTGAATGCGGTCGCTGCCGACTGGCAGGCACACACTTACTTCTGTAGCCCGAGTTCTCTGAGGCAGCCTTTTCTGAAAAGGGGAGGAAGGAAGAGAGAGGTCTTATTTCTGTTGAAAAGGCATGGTCACGCCAGAGTTGGTTACTAAAGGATAAATAGCCTTATTTTCCCATTTCTTTGGAATTGCTTGTGTGAATTCTAGCCCTCAAGATGCCCACAGTGTATATTCCTCCAGTGCTGCTGTGATCACCAAACTCCCCTGAAGAAACACGAATCCTCTGCCCGCAGAACTTGACTGGCAGGAGTGGGGCAGTGCCTGTGCCTCAACAGGTCTTGTTCCCATCCCGGAAAAAGTCCTTTGAGGGAGAAAGAATAACTTCATTTCTGTGCTTTTTCAGTCCTTGCTGCTTGTGGTGGGACTGCAGAAAATACTGACAAGGGCTTCTGCTACTTTGGGGAGTAGGGGAAGGGCGCTCCAGAGCTACGTAGAGATCTGGCTGTCTTGCTGCATACATCAGCAAGCAAGTATATAACTTCCTTAATTTAATAGACTATTAGCACTGTCTCCCTTAAAAATCTAACAGGCAAATTACTGCTTGGTCTCAGGGTTTGGGTTGGGTTTTTTTTTTGTGATTGATGCATCTTTAGTTATCCAAATATTCAAAGAGTACTTTTCCATCTTTTGTAGTTGCTTTCAGGCCTGCAGGCTTAAACATAATACTGTCTGCATCCTAGCCAGTATTTAAAATACTGAAAAATTGGCTGGCTTTTTTACCAATGACTTCTTTTAGTCACTTGAAGGGCAGCTATACTCTCATGGTTCATTGATGATTAATTCGGAATTCATTTTTGTGTGGAATGACTATGGAAATGATGTGGTTTGTTATTGCTCTTACCTGTAGGTCTGTAGTAATGCTGGAGGTACTGAGGTCTTGATAAGGGGATCAAGGCATTTTGACATACTCATTTTGCTGATGTTTTGTTTGTACAAATGTGTTCATTTAAAAATGTGATCAGAAGCTTTGTTCATCTAATGCTAGACTTTTGGTCTTTCTATCCATTGTTGTGAACTTGTTGCTTTGACCTTTGCTTTATAGCAATCTTAACTCTAGAGTTAAGATAGAGTTAAACAGAGACTTTTATTTATACTTCTAGACAAAACCTGCAGGAAGTTTCACTGAAATCCCTTATGCAACTTCTCTTTGCAGCCTGCGATTTCTTAATGCCTCTGCCAACAAACTGGAAACGCTTCCTCCAGCCACTCTTTCTGAAGAAACCCATAGCATCTTACAGGAGTTGTATTTGACCAGTAACAACCTCACAGATAAATGCGTACCCTTGTTAACAGGCCATCCACACCTGAAAATCTTGCACATGGCTTACAATCGCCTACAGAGCTTCCCTGCGAGGTAAGTAACCGGTTTCACTGCCTCCGGCCCACCGGTGGGTGGGCATCATGAAACATTTTCACAGCGAGAACTAAATTGCACAGGAACGTGGTGGCACAGGCTGTATTTTGAACGCAGAGATGCTGCAGTGGGTGGATTCACCTGCTGTGCCCTCTTGTACCTTGCTGCCCTCTCCTGCGTTACACAGGCAAGCGAGTGCTGCGTGTAATGTCGGTGCATATTGATTGCGCTGGAAATTCTTTTCAGCTGGGCTAACTCAGCATGACCACAGAATGCTTTTGAAGTCAAGCAAGGAGGTCTTCAGTTTCTCCTGGCTTGGTCACTTTGTTTACGCCTGGTGGGCTTCTCCTTAGGAAGACATTTGTGGGCATAGCAGTCTGGAAACATCCTCTGGAAGTGGACTAAACTCCACTGGGGAAAAATCCTCTCACTCCAGAAGGAGATTCTGCCTTGGCAGCAATTCCTGTATTTTCAATTCACTCCATTTTAATGAGAAATCTTTCAAGTGTAAGACGTGCTGTGAGGCCGATGGGGTACAACCTTGGAAGAGAGATGCCAATAAATAAAGGAAGAGACATCTCTGTCCTTGTGCGATGTTCTGAGCAGCTGGGCTTCAATGACAAGGGGAGGGAGGGAGACGAATTAGGGGGAAGAGCTGAGTGGGATGTCAGAAGATGGAAGGGAAAATCTGGGGTGAAGTGAGAAACTAGGGTTGAAAGAAAGGGGAAGGAAGCGGGGAAAAAGAGTGAAAGTGAGCTGGTGAGCAGGGGGAATGTAAGCAAAATAAGTCACCTGAAACGTAGCATTAGAAAATATTGACAGAAGCAGCACACATTTTGTTCCACAACTGTATTAGCATCTGACATGAGGAGAGGTGACAGGCACTGCTGTGAGCAAGGACCAAAGTCTGCAATTTTATTTTCTTAAAATAACGAAAACCACTCCTCTTATCACCACTTCAAAATAGAATATGCATGTCGTTAAAAGAAAAAAATCTCAAACTCCTGTTTTCATAGCAAAATGGCCAAGCTGGAAGAGTTGGAGGAAATTGATATTAGTGGGAACAAACTGAAAGCCATTCCAACAACCATCATGAACTGCAGACGTATGCATACTGTAATTGCTCACTCCAACTGCATCGAAGTCTTCCCAGAAGTCATGCAGCTTTCTGAAATAAAGGTAAGGAATGAATGTGCTTTGGAAGAAGCAAGTATAATGTGACTTTACCAATTCTGTTTGCCCCTCAGGTCTCTCATTGCCATAGGATAGTAGATTCTCAGAAAGCAGAGATCTGACAGCTGCTTTCTCCTCTGAGGTCATATGCAAAATATTCGCCCCTGTGCTGCCTTCGAGCGGAAGGGAAGAAGAGCCTCAAAATTTGATTTTACACTCACCTTCACCAGATCCTATCTTCTCTGCCAAATAAGAGTTAATTGTCTTCCTGTGACAGTCTGTTACAGTACGACTTAAACATTTGGCAAGAGCTATGTGTAATTAACTCTTGCTGCCTTACTGGTTGATTGTGTAGGAATGGACTTTGTTAGAGCACGTGTTAAAAACCGCTGAAGCTGCAAAATGGGATAGGCCTTGGGGACAGAGATAAATTCCAGGAGCGCAGGATTTGAGTATTCAGGCAAGCTACTTTAATTCTCCTAATTGCAGTCATATTTTGCACAACTGGAGGAATGCTTGATCTGTCTTTTGTATGTGTCTCCAGAAGCAATTCCCTACTTTTCCTGACGCTTCTTTTTGCGGGATGCATTCTTTGCTTGACCACACTGAAGAGCACTGCTGCTTACCTTTTGTGAATCAGCTTTCCTCCTCCTCGCCTGGCTACAGGGCAGAATGTTTTGCGCTGCACGCTGTTTCCGCTGGCCAGAGCTGGGAGGCTGTTAACTTAGAGCGTACAAATCTTGTGATATGGCAGAAAATCTGTCGTTCTCTAAGGTTGAGAACTGATTGCCTATTCACTGCCTCAGAGTAACTTAAGTGTCCTTCAGGCGCTCTCTAAAGCCAAAAGGCTAAGTTCCCAGACTGCTGCGTGTGCCTCGGTGGGGTCAGGCAAAGCAGCGGGAGCAATAATTCTGTTGGACAGCGAGTACATGTAAAGATGAGCTTTGTGGTTTTAGCCAGGAAATCTCAAATAAACTTGTGGGTTTTTGAATACTCCTCCCTCTTTGGAACAATGGCCAGAGGAAGCGGAGGGCCGTTTAGAATCAATCAGAAGCAAAACCTTTTTTTCGTAGAGGAAGAATTGGGGTGGGGGAGTGGGGCTCTGCGCAGTAAACATTTCTTTAAAAGTATGAGGGTGGTGTCAACCAAAAAAAACCAAATGAGGGTAATGTAAACATGCCGATGGGGACAATCAGCTTTTTCCTTTTGTTCGTGTGTTTTGGGGAAAGCTGAATGTTTTATAGAAGCGTCAGTATTTGAAGTGCTACTCTGCCACAATGCTTAGCAGAAAAACGCTCTTGGAAGACCTGGGAGTTTCTTCCTGATGGTTCCCTGTGGTTATTTAGTTCTCTTTAGCAGAAGAAAAAGGCACAGACGTCACTAACTGTTACGGGACTCCAGGGATAGCATGCATGACCTCGTCTAAGAGGACGCGGTGCTCTAGGACTCCACCTTTGTGGAAGGAAAATGCCTGGTCGGTGCCCTAGCCTGATTTTGACTTAGGTGAGATGAGTTCATGTAGTTGCCAGGTGGGAAGGTGTCTTGTTGGGGATAGGGGTTCTTCTGGCCTCTTGGTGGTTTCTCTAGGTCGGGGTTGGCGTTAGTCAGTTTGGAGGTCAAGCTTGTGCTGCCTGGCTGTATCTGTTATTCAGCTTAACTGGAGTTCCTTCTTTGGTACGCAAGAGCATTCAAAATGCACCAGAGTAAGTTCAGAATTTACTGTTTGAGTATGGATTTGGTTGCTTGCCGAAAGAAGCTTGCTTGTAGAAAAGCACAAAGTTGTATAGTCTCATGACGCCTTAGTGATTGTATCATATCTGATGGTTAATTTAACTGAGGTGGCATTCAAGCACTTTCAACTTCTTGGGGAACTCTGTTACCTGAGGTAATGGCTGTTTTGCTTTTATATTTAATTAGCCTGAGAGGCTGACATGTTACGTTTTTGGAGTCAGTGATACCGGAACAGTTAGTAGCAGCAATTACTATGCTGTCTGAAATAATTTCAGAAGGAAAGCTGCTATAAATGCTGATGCTTTTACGCTTGCAGTAGCTCCAGGATTTCCAAACGCAAGGTCAGTTTAGTGATAAAATTGTCTCTAATCCTTTCTTACACACTGCAGTTAAGGCTACAGAAGTCATTTGTTGTCCGCTGTGTTAGAGAGCCCAGTGGATGTCTCTGAGATAATCTTCTATGATAAAATTTTTAGGGTTTTTATTGTATTTTATGGCCATTATTTATACTGTCAGAGTATCCAGCCTCCTGGTGTTCTTTCGCAGTCAAACAGCTGAGTACTCCTTACTGCTTGAGCAGAGCTCAGCGACCCGGACTTGCTTTTCCCACCTAGGACCTGTTTTTTGTTGACTGATGAGTTGCTTCTCTTCCATGGTTTGTCTTGCCGGGCTGCTGCCATGAGGGTGATACCAAGGTTTCTTGTCACAGTTTTTGATCAAGCTTATCTGTCGCAGGAGCATTACCTTGAGATCCAAAATCAGTGAAGATCTAGTAGCAGTAGCATCTTAAAGACGAAACTTTCAATCTTTGGTAGTTTTTCTCCTAGTTAAATAGGTTAGTATGGGTGCGGCCACCTTCAGTCATGGCTGGAGATAACTCAAGTCCCTTCCAGCCTTGGACAAAACAGTTACAAAGCTGTAAATGCAGTGCAAGCAAATGCTGAATATTAAACCCTGTCATCCGTCTGGCCTGTCCAGTGCAAAATCCTGTGTGCGCTTGCAGTTGTTCTCCTGGTGCTGCATGGGTGGGGCTAAGCCAGCTCTCATTAATATAATGCATGAGGGTATTGGGATCAGTTAGGAAATATGCTTTCCTGCTTGCCTGGGGAGCAGAATAAGGACTAAATTTAACACAGAAAGGCAGAAAGTCCCTCCTAGCCTATTCTTCAAATAGTACAAATAAAATCTAAGGAATCCTTACCTGATAAATAAACAGTCTCCCCTAGTGCCTAGGGACCAAGGGATCTGCTGTAGAGTGTTGCCGCTGTGGGCATATTGGGCTTTTAATGAGAACAATGAAATTACTTTACCGATTTTTGTACTTGTTATTCCAGCATGCTCTTCCGTCAAATTTGTAATGGCATCACGGTGTTGAACACAGCAAGGCTTGCTGGCAGCTTCTTTAATCTGCAAAGTAATTACTGGCTCTCTGGAAGCAGCAAGGAGTTGCGCAGAGGAAAAAAGCTGGCTGGAATAACTGTTCTGTTAAGCTGTCTACTATTTTGTTTGCGTGACAGATTTAAACTCTGCTTTCCTTATCAAGTGTAGATAACGTCAGCAGTTTGTTCTTCATAGATAATAAGGCCTCTGTATTAGACAACTTCAGGATTCAAGATTTGGGTCAGAAATTTGTTATTTCCATTGCATGTGTTTAATAAAGTGTTTGGAGATTTTTCTTTTCCTGATTTTACTAGGTTATCTTACGCCTTCTTCCAGCTCAGGACCCAATTTCTTTGAATATACCTACAAAAATGAAAGTGCCTCACTTGTATCAATGGAAATTATGTAATGGTGAAAATGTGCAGCTCGGAAAAGCCTCCCCCGCCCCTTTCAGCTTTATGTTTTATTGAAGTTTTTGAAGTCTTCCTCTTTTTACAGGTTGAAAGTAGAAAATTGTCTTTGTGAAAGATGTGGATAGTTCTAACCTCTGTTAAAACCTGCTCTCTCCTTTGAAAAAATTTTTTGGTGTTTTTGCAATTTTTGGTGCATCCCACGCCTCTGGTCCTGTAATCGGGTTTGGAGTGTTGGTTTTGTTCTAAAACACCGTATTTTTTTTTCCCTGTGTATTGACTTTCATCTGGATATGGAGCTTTAAACGATGTTTGTTTGGGGATTTTGTCATTCTAGTGCACTTGTTCTAGCTAATCTGTGCTTAGCTGGTGGATAGCCAGCAAGTTTCTATGCTCTTTTGTATCCTATTTTTTCTGAAATATTTAAGCTTTAATTTTTTTTCATTAATTTTATTGACTTCATATTTAAATGTGAATCCGTCTAAGATGGCATGAATTAAACCATGCTTAAAACTGCTCCAGTATTTTTTTTCCTTTCCCCCCTCAACTCCTCCCCTCCTCATACATTCATAACCCTGCTTATTTTAATTATCACTCAGTAAATATTGAATTCCTGGGAGCGTGCTCATACTCATGCTGGTTTGCTGGTTTAAACTGACTTCAGAGGAGGGGCTGCTGTGGCAGTGGCTTAGAAGCCCCAACTGTATTTATCTCAGTTTCTTTTATCCATTAAAAGACTGGCAACTGTTTTCATCAGTCACATTTTTTCTTAAGTACTTGAAAATACACTGACTATCTTTGTGTCTGTGAAGAGCAGACAAACCTTACCGGCTTTGTAACAAGACAACACCTGGCCAGAGGTGGAAATGGAGGGGAACGATGATGGCACATATTTCTAGGTGTCCCAGGCATCTGGGAAGATGGCTAAATGCCATATGAACGTTATTTTGTAAGAATCACTTACCTAAATGAATGGTCTTAGGTCTCAGTTGCAGCCTTTATTGTTTGTGAAACATGCATTACTACATTTAATCAAAATTTGTATGGTCTTGATGACAGCTGAATTCTCTTGCTTACTTGGCTGCTTTCCTCTTGCAGTGCGTGGACCTAAGCTGCAATGAACTGAGCGAAATCACATTGCCTGAAAACCTGCCTCCAAAACTACAAGAGCTGGACCTGACTGGAAATCCCAGACTAGCCTTGGATCACAAAACCCTAGAGCTGCTGAAGTAAGTTACCTTGCAGAGCGGGAGGGGACAGAGTGGTTCCTGTCCCTAGGATGTGACAAAACCACAAAACCAGAAGTGTAAATCTCTTCAAGGAGTATGGGCTCCCTGTTGTCAGTGGATCAGAAAGTAACAGATTGTATGGGTAGCTCAGAAATTAATGCTTCATTAAAGAGGATTACTTCACCCACTTCAGTGCAATTGCTTTCAGCTGTAACTCCTTGAAAGGGGTCTGGTGGGCCAATATAACCACTGTTGGGCCAGTTTGATCTCTGTTTTACTTCTGACATTAGATTAAACCAAAATTCTTGTTTTCTCCCACCATTAAGATGCCAGTAGCTACTTACTATGGTTTTTTTTTCTCACATTCATGTACTTGGGTCTGTTTTTGCCATTGTGCTCCATTTTACCTTGTCTCATGCCATTTCTTGTTACCTTTCATACCTCTCTGCTTTTGTCCTGTAAATATTTTTTTCCATATTTAAGCTGCTTCTGAAGACTTTAATCTCCCACTCTGCTTGCAGCAAAGCCAGTTACCTTGCTTTGGGGCCCTCTATTTTTTTTCCTGTCTACCTGTTTGTTTCCTTGCCCTGGGACTTACCATTCATAACTGAAATTCATCAAGTGCCTCGTGCCCCCTTCTGCTGTGAGTTGGGAAATTGTTGCACTAAAACAGATCATCTGCGGACAGTGGTGCTGCCTTGAGCTTTTCTTATGGCCTGAAGGGAGCTGCACCAGCTCAGAGGTTCCTTCGAAGCCTCTTTGATCCTCAAATGTTGAATTATTCCAAGAAGGGTTGATTTATTTTTTTTTTAAGGGTTGAGCAGTTGCTTCGTGTGGTTTGCTTTTAAATGGTTAAGATCAGGCACTGGAGTAGTAAACCTCATCTGTTGTGCAAGCAAGGGAAACTTACAGTGCAAGTTTGCTTTTAGCTGGAATCAGCGGATTTTATCAAATTTAAGTGGAAATTTGAATAATGATGAGTTTTCAGAGATAAAAACGAGAGTTCATGTTCTGCAGCAAACAGCAAAAAAAAAGGGGAGCTCCTCTATTTTAGGAGCTGCTTTATTGTATACAGGAAACCTTCCTGAAGAAGCAGTGTGTAATGTTGCCCTGGTTCATAGGAAAAAAAAAAACCAACTATATTGCAAAGCTAACTGAATTGTGTCAAAACTGAAAGATCAGCTCTTCCTGTGTATAACCCAGCAGACAAGATGGGCAAGCCAATCTCTTGACACGTTAGTGTTCAGGCATCATGCCCTGTAGCAGCAGTGTACAAATTTAAGTCCTAAGTAGTAGAAGAGTAGTGTGGCCCAGTTACACACCATAGTTTCACTGGCATTGGTGTTAATTTACTGAAAACTTTTTTTTCCCCTTGTGTGTGTGTTTTGTTTAGTTATTTGTGGTTTTTTACAAATTATTCTTAAGACCTCAGGTCTGTTTTCTTGAATAATATCCATTAGCCGCAATCAGGTGTTCTCAGGCCTCCTGAGGGGCTGCTTAGTATCTGTACCGATATACTACGCTGACTTCTGTGGTATACTGCTATAATTGACTGTGAGGGAGGGGGTGCTCCTTTCTCTTGCTTTTTGTGGCAGGCACAAAAATACTTGTGCACTTGGTACTTTTTATATCTTCCTTCTGCATGTGAAAGGCAGCTCTCCATCTGTGCCCTGGCAGGATTCAAGCAGGTAGTAGGTTAATATGTATTCTTGGTGCTGGTGAGAAAAGTCCTGTCATGCATGCTCGCTTTTTTAATATGTATGGAGATCTTAAAGGAGGCTTTGGCATGCTTAAGAGGATGTTGCCAAGTGATTTATTGAATGTAAGAATTTTCAGTAGCAATTAAAATGAAAAAAAGGGGGGAAAAAAAAAAAAAAGATGCTGCTACTCTGTTCTTTGGGGAAGAGCATTTAGTTCAATTGTACCAGGCATTTTAAATTGGGGGGAAAATAAACTGTGCTGTCCGGAAGCCTTAGCCCATCTTCCCTGCATAGGATGTGCTGCTGGATATCGTTCCTTTCCGGGCACATGGTCTGTTTGTAGCGGTGCCACTGAGGAAGCTGAAAGCAATGCTTTGAGGTAGCTTTTTTTAACCGCTTCTGGGAAGCCTTGAGACAACCCTGAGTCCTTGACCTGCCCAGTAACCAGGGGTCAGTCAACTCAGATAAAAAAGAAACAAACAGAAAACTCCTTTTGATCCACGTTCCTCTGCCCGGGAAGATAAGTGCCTTGTGTGAGAAGTCCACGAAGAAAGTGTGTTTGCTCACGTGTGTAGTGGTTTACAGGTGGAGACAGAATTAAAATCTCTGCCACTTCAGAAGAGACCCAGGTTTCCAGTTTGATTTGGGGTCAGATCATCTTTTCTAATGTTTGCAGCAAGATGTTTGCCTCCTGTTTGTCACACAAAGGGCTGCAAAACCAAGGGCTTAAAATGCAAGTGGTTCTAACGTTATTTATGTAATTTGCTTGCTTTTAATCTGCCCTCACTGATGTACGTCCTGACTATTAGCATAAAAAGAAATGGAACTGGATGTGACAGTACTTGGGGTTATTTGAGGAAGGCTGTGCGATACTGAAAAGACTTTTTCTGTGCGTTCGGGTCAGGTGGGGGTTTGGATGGAGAAAAATGAGTGCTCAGAGTGAACAGTTAGACCTTTCTGCTTGTGTCCTTTTATGATTCATTTGGTTCATGAAAGGTTCGGGTGCCTTTGAAGTGTCTGCAGCGTGTGGGGAGCTCGCTTTCCCTGCCTTTGGAAGAGAGCAGCCGGGAGCAGGGAGGAGGTCATCTCTCCCCAGCAAAGCAGGGCTGTGAAGAGAGGCGAATAAACAGGGAGGGCTGGGCCCTTTTTCAGTCTTTACTATGCTGCGTGAGGTATTTGAAATTCAGGCTAAAAGACTATGTTGGTAGTAAATTGGAGGGTGCAGGATCAAGGGCCTAAGTAAAAATTGGATTGTACGGCCGGGGAAGGTAGGAGGGCTGCGCTCGCTGTGGGGACAGCAGGCTGGCTCCTGCAGGTTGGTGCAGGACGAGGATGGAGCGAATTTCTGTTTGTGGGCATTTTCATGGAAGGCAACATTACTACACATTGGTGTTTCCAAAGATTTATTTTTTTCTTTTTTGCATCCTTTTTTTTTTTTTTTTTTTTTTTTTTTTCTTCTTTCATTTGGGTGTTGGTGTGGGTCATACAGGAGGCTTCATTTGAGTACAGTGAAAAGAGCCTGGAGACAACTTGTTAAAATGGGTGGGAGAGATGTATAAGTTAAAAAGTCACTCCCCTGTACCAGCTCTCATCAAGCTAGTGACAAATTTGCCTTGTATTCCTACTGGGCCAGGTTTGAAACAAATAGCTCAGGGGTGAGAGCAAGGAAAGAAAAGCTGGCTAAGCAGAACTGTGCAGCCAACACCCTGATAGAGGCTCAGTTATTTACTGCTTTTTTGTTCTTTCTGTACAGACACATGAAAGTAACCACTTCGGATGTCCCACTTCTTTTTCTTCTATTAAGTGTATTACTAAGAACCGGGAGGGGGACAAAAAGGTGTTATCTTCACATTTTAAGCTGGATGACGTCGGCACTCCAATCCATTGCATCTTTCCTCTTTCCTTTCTCCTTGCAGCAATATCCGTTGCTTCAAGATCGACCAGCCCTCGGCCGGTGACGCTTCGGGAGCACCGGCGGTGTGGAGTCACGGCTACACCGAAGCGTCGGGCGTTAAGAACAAGTACGACCTGGCGCGGTTTTTGTTACGCGAGCATCCTAGCAGCCGAGCACCTCTATGCTGATACAAAGAAATCCTTTCCTCAGTGAAAGTTCTGGGGACTTTTTGGGCCTCACAAAGGCGCAGAGGCCGTGCCATGACTCTGTACTTGCATACCGGGCCCCTGCCTGGCTCTCCACTTTGGTTTTTGTTGGGGAAGTTGCTAAGATACAAGTGTAGCCGACACATTTTGTCTATGCAAGACTCGGGTACTTGCAAAAGATCTGAGTGTTTAAAAGCATTTTCCTCTTTGCAAAGCTGCTTTATCTGCAACCAAAGGATGTTTACCCAGCAAATCAGAGATACTAAAGGAAGAGGCAGAATGGCCAAAGCTCTGAATATTCATAGTGTGCGGAGCTCCTGTGACTAAGGCAGCACTTGACAAATAATGTACCAAGAGTCTGCTGGTCTCTGTGGCGCTGGCACTGTGATGAATCTTTCTTTGTTCCTTAAATACCTTTTTAGAAATCTTTTGCTACCTAGGTTTCCGTAGCAAGTGCCAGCAAGCCTTTACTTTCTGTTAACTGATTTAACGCACAGCTTGGTCATCGGCATGTTAAAACACAAGGATGGCTTTCAGAGGGGCAAGTGCGGTTTCAACTCGAGTTGTTTCAGGCATCCTTTTTCCCCTGTTTCTACAAATAAGGGACTTGTTCACATGCTGAAAAGGAGGAAGAATCCTTAGGGCTCGGCTCGAACTTCCAGTATAGTTCTCTCCACGTCTTAGCACTATTGATGGGCCTGACTCTTGTCCACAGCCCAGAAAGCAGTCCTGAAATGCTTGTGAACATTAAGGTGGTTAAAACTAGCTCTCAGACCAGGCTGCATCTTTCTGGTCAGAATGACAAGATGAGAAACTAGTAGTGGGTAACGACCTTGATGTTCTCCTGCTTTGCTTTTTCACTAGGCTGTGTGTGGCAGCGCTTTCAGCCAATAACTTCTGCGACAACCGGGAGGCACTTTATGGCGTTTTTGATGGAGACCGCAACGTGGAAGTGCCGTACTTGCTGCAGTGCACAATGAGCGATATCCTAGCAGAAGAGCTGCAGAAAACAAAAAATGAGGAGGAATACATGATCAACACTTTCATCGTTATGCAGAGGTGAGTCTTGGATCGGAAAGCCTTTTTTACCTTGTGCATGCTTACTGGGCAGTTTGTTCACTTTCAGGTCAGGCACCTGCTCCTTTTCTTGCTTCAAAAATTGCGAGGGGGGGAAAAAACCCTTGGCATCTGGCTATGGTGTTTTCTTTTTACTGCTTGTTTTGTGAATATTGCCCTCTGTTCCTTTCAGATGCGGGGAGAGAAACCCCAACACCTCCCCACCCAAACAAAAAAAAAACCCAACCCATCTGCAAAGTTACTAAATGCTCATGACTAAGTGGTGGGTGGAGGTTTACTCTTTTTCTGGTGTCTTCTTTAAGTCTTAGGATTCACAGTTGGCCGTAACCAAGTCAGTGGTATGAATCTCCTGATCATCTTTTAAACTTCTTTACAACTACTGGCTGCAAAGCCTGGGCTGATCCTTTCTGTTTCTCTGTACCAGTTTAGGTTATTTAAGGCTACAGAGATATTTAAAACGTAGTTGACTCCTTAGAAATGTCTATCTCCTGTCATCCCTCTGGCCTTAGAATATTATTTGAGCAGGACCCATCCAAAGAGATTGTGATACGGTAGCTGTGAATGTAATAGTAGCTCTGTGTAGTGGTTTGGAAACCTGCGTGTGTGCTGTTCTTGACAGAAGAAGAAATTGTGCCTGGGGAGATGCTGAGCGAAGGAGTATGAAGGGAACTGAACAAAGGAGAACGAAGAGGTCAGGGAAACAAAGGAGGAAGCAAATAAGCAGCTTAGAGACTGAGGGAATGGATCAAGTTGAAAGTAGCATTGCTTATCGTTCAATTGCTGCACCTTTGAAAAGGAAAAATACTGAAGGGAAGGATACGGAAGCAGTAGGGTGGTATTGAGCCTTATGAACACAAAAGAGAAAATGCTTCCTTCCCATAATTGCTTATAACAGTGCCTCAGACCGGTAGCTGAGAAGGTGGTTGCCATGTACTTCAAATATTTTAAAATAATCACAAATCTGAATATCAGAAGTACTTACTAAGTGGTTTTGTTTACTACTAATGCAATTTCACAGGAGTGTGGCTTTCCTACAAAAAGCTGCGTGTTTTTTGGTTTGGGGTTTTTTTTTATCTTGGGTCAAAATAAGCTAACCGCTTCTTTGGAGAACCAGAAATAGTATCCATTCCTGTTGCATTTAACCATTCACTGAGGATATGCAATGCTCCTGGAGTGTATTTTTAAAAAATAAAATAGAAAAGCGCATTGAAGCTTGGCTACAAATTTAGTTGTGCATTCTCTCCCCAGGATTTTGAATCGAAAGTTCTTCCCAGCTATACCCAGCCTTCATATAAATTTTAGTAACCTCTATAATTAGCTTTCTAATCACTGTAATCTCTAATTGCTATAGGAGAAGGCCCTGATAAACAAGATACTGGGAAGGATGGATGTTTTTTCACAGTCTGTTGAAATGAATTTACAGTCTAATGACGGGATTTTGAAAACTTCAGGTTTATACCTAGTTGGGTTTTTTTTCCACTACGACCCCTGCTAAAACAGCAGGCTTAAATATTTCTAAGAGCATATTTAGCAGGTTAGTAACTGACAGGATAAATGAAAAGTGTGCCTTCCTTAGGTGAAGTTAACAGCCACTGTGCTTTTTTCATCATCATTTGATACCTTAAGAGCATTATTCTGGAGACATTGCAAAATGTTGAACCTCTGCCTTCTGCTTTTGCTCAAAAATAAAGGTTTTATAGTTAGAATTATTATTTTTATAATAAAAGCTGTAGCTGCAGAAGCTGAAGAACCAGCTGGATATGAACCCCCTTTTTAAGCTCTACCTGTACTCATTTAATAGTTCTCAGTACTTTCCTAACCCCCTCTGTTTCTCTCAATCTGACCTTTAAAACAAACGTTGTTACGATGTAAAGGAAGAGAGAGAACTGTGCAGCTCTTAAAAGCACAAAGATTTTTTTTTCGTTGTTGTTCTAAAATAGAGCGGATTTGCGTATCTGCATACGTGTAAATAACACACTGCCGGAGAGTTGCACATGATTTCTCTGCAGCGCTGCCATAGTGTCACAGTCTTCAGTGGAGACTTTTGTTTCTGTCTCAGTGATCCAATAGAGTCAATGCCCTGAGTGCTTGCGGTTGCAGAACAGCGGCTGTTTCTCCGTAGCACCCATAACACTTGTTTTCCAATTAAAGAACAATCACTGTTTTGTTTAAATTCCAGGAAACTTGGAACAGCTGGACAAAAACTTGGAGGCTCTGCTGTCCTTTGCCATATAAAACATGATCCCATGGACCCTGGTGGATGCTTCACGCTAACCTCAGCAAACGTGGGGAAGTGCCAAACCGTTCTCTGCCGGAATGGGAAACCTCTGCCTTTGTCCAGGTGTTACGCGATGAGTTGCGAAGAAGAGCTGAAGAGGATTAAGCAGCATAAGGCCATTATCACAGAGGTTAGAGAACAGTTAGGGACTGTTGCAACTTGCAGCTTCCTTGGAGGGTGTTTGCACAGCAATGCATGAAATTACATGTCGATGCTGGTAACCTCTAAGAGGTGGTGTTAATGGTGTGGGTTCCAGAGTTGCACTTTTCCTTTCAAGGTGATTCATGTCAGGCAATCAAGTTGCTTTTCCATGCCATTGCCGTGATGGATTTTGGTTAGCTTCAGAGAGTGAGCAACTGTGAGCATGTTGCGTTGAAACAGGAAAGCAGATGCCTCCTAATGGGGAGAAGAATTCCTGTGTTGGAGCTGTCATGAAGAGCCTCCAGTCGAAAGCATGAGAGGGCAGAGCACTTGGAGCGATGCCGTCCTTCCCTTGGGGGGTCTTCTCGCTCCTGGCAGGCTGACTTTGCTGTCTGAGCTCTTATGTTCCCCGAGCTGCCCTTTGACAGGCAGCTCTTGAGGAGACCGCTTGCCCAAAAGGAAAACCCATCCTGTGCTCAGCTGAACCATGAGAGAGGAGAAAACTGTCTGTTCCCTTCTTATAAGCTTGAAGCCACCACTGTCAGTTTTGCTCTGTGTTGTGTGACGCATGCGTAGGAATAGATAAATACTGAATCCTCCTCATGGTGGAGGAAAGGGCAGAAAACTCACTGCTGTATGCCCGTGAGCAGAGGGTGTGCGTGCGTGGAGTAAGTCATGTGCCGATTGATCTTGCTGGGGAAAGGTGACGACTGGGATCTCAAGTGTGACAAGTTGGAAAGGGGGCACTCCACCACAGCGTGCATCACTGAGGCATGCTCGTTGTGTTTTCCGTAGAGGAAGAGGGAAATTTCTGTGCTGAATCTTAAGATGACTCACTGATTTCATGCACGTTGATGGCTTATCACTGCCGTCAGCCTTCTAATGGGGAAGTTAACAAGCCGACAAGGTTTTTCTTCCAAGTGGTTTTAAAGGGGAAGCTTTTTTTTAGTCTTGGTTCACTTTTCTGCAGTTACCTGCTTTATAATAACCACTGCAGGCATCAGCTGGACCAAATGAGTGTAAATCCTCACCTTTGCTGTTCTCGAACAGGCAATTAGCAGGGTGCAGCTATCCCCAGCAGGCTGACAGATAGCCAAGCTTGCTGTTTCAGACACTTGCTCTGCTTATTCTGGCAGCTTGGATTCCAACCAGGATAGGATCCTGGGATTTGGACATGCATGGGATTTACTCCTCAAACATGTCCATTTTTACTGATGTTTTCCCTTCAGATATTACTGCTCCTCCCCTTGGAAATGTCATATCTAAGTGGAAATGTAGTAAGTAATTGGGGCATGTAAAACATTTCAGTACAACTCAGCTGACTGAGAAATGCAGACTTGCTCTCTGCTGTATTTGCCTTGCATGCTTCATTTAAAGTGTTTTGGTTTTGTTTTTTTTTTTTTTTTAAAATGAACTTTTGTTCCCAAAGTGATGAGCCAAGATGAAACCTATGACTGTTACAGCTGCAAGAGAAGAGTCATAACTGAATGACCTGCCCCTATATCAAATGGAGCTGTGTGTGGCTTTGCCCTGTATAAAGCCAGATATCGTGGGTGGAGGAGGGATAAGTCTGACTCACTGGTAAAACATTAGTCCAGTTGGCTCTCGCAGCTGCAGGAGAATAGATGGCTCTTTGTTGCAGACATCTGCTTTGTTGGTCTGTGCATAGGTGATGCTGACAACAAATCAGTAGGGTGTAGGAGGCGTAGCACAGGAGTGCAAACGGGCCATTGCTGTGCCCTAATCCCAGCTCTGTCACCTCTTTGCAAGTCAGTTTGCTTTTCCATCTCCTTGTCTGCAAATGGCAGTAACAACCATCGGTAAAATGCAAGGAAGGTGCAGGTGCTGTGTATCCTTGTCTGCTTTGTTTCCAATTTCCTGTCCTTTCCAATTTCAGGATGGCAAAGTGAACGGTGTGACGGATTCGACGAGAATCTTGGGGTACACCTTCCTTCACCCAAGTGTTGTGCCGCGCCCTCACGTCCAGTCCATCACCTTAACTCCACAAGATGAGTTCTTCATTCTGGGGAGCAAGGGGCTGTGGGACAGCCTCTCGATGGATGAAGCAGTGGAGGCAGTCAGAAACGTGCCTGATGCTCTGGCAGCCGCAAAGAAGCTTTGCACTTTGGCCCAGAGTTACGGCTGCAACGACAGTATCAGCGCCGTCGTGGTTCAGCTCAACGTGACAGAGGACAGCTTCTGCTGCTGTGAACTTAATGGGGTCCCACCCCCCAGCCCAGGCATTTTCCCCCAGTCTGTCAACGTGGTCATCAAGGACAGGCCAACAGATGCGCTCGGGATGCCGTCTTCGAGCAGTGGCATGGCTTCGGAGATCAGCAGTGAGATCTCCACCTCCGAAATGAGCAGTGAGGTGGGGTCCACAGCCTCCGACGAGCCTCCACAGGTAGCCATGAATGAGAACAGCCCGGCCTACCCAGGGGAGCAGCGCTGCATGCTGCACCCCGTCTGCCTGTCCAATTCTTTTTTCTGCCACGGGCACCATAGGGCGCCGGCGGGGCAACGGTTCTGTGGCACCGCAAGAGAGGAGCCATAACTTAATTGAAGTTGCAACGGATGCGCCGCTCAGAAAAACAGGGGGCTACTTCGCTGCTCCAGCACAGCCCGATCCCGACGACCAGTTCATCATCCCACCAGAGCTTGAAGAGGAAGTCAAGGAGATTATGAAGCAGCACCAGGAACAACAGCAGCAGCAGCAGCAACAGCAGCAGCAGCAGCGGCAGTATCCGATGGACCACCTGGCAGACTATTACGATACACCACTATGACCCACTCTATTTACTGCTCAGAAATAAACTAACAAACAAGGAGACTTGAGTGCGGGACCCAGCAGGCTCGCATTACAGCAGGGGTTTTCCTTATCCTTTTCCTTTATATACTTCCTTTTCCTTATCCTGCCACTACAGATAACTGCAGCTTTTCAGTTTGTTAGGTTTAATATTCATTGACTTTCTTCTAGAGACGCTTGACCGGTAAAGTTTAAAATAGTTAACCTTCCCTTAACATATCAAGTGTAAAAGCAAAAAAAGAAAAAAATAATAAAAAAATAATAAAAAGGTTTAATATATTGCTGAGAAACAGATGATGATGTAATATTTTTTAAAATGGCTTGTTTGTTTTGTTTGAAAAGCAGGGCAGTAGCCAGTGCTAAATGATTTAAGTAATATTGTAATACTGTATTTCTTTGAGAGAAAAGGCTTTTTTTGGTCTTGAAAATGATAGACATTTGTAGAATATGGAGACTAACTCCTAGGAGTTGCTTTACTCTTTCAGGTGACTTAAGTCACTGAGATTCACTAATTTTCTCTGAGAGAACAGTTGATTGGGAAATTCCTGTAAATAGCTCAAGTGTTGTATAGTGATGCTTACATGTTTTGTAGCCTTGGCATTAAGGACACAACCTGAAAAAATGACCTTTTTTTTCTTAAGCGACTCGTTGGGCCGTGGTCATTGAGCGTAACAGACTGAGTGGCTGTGTACAAGTTAGCTGGAGCCGAGATGGTGTCGACCATTTAAAGAAACCCACTTTTTCCTCTGGTCTCTTTCTTTCCTTACTTTTACAGACACGTTTTGTTTGTGTTCCTTTCTGCTGCCACAACCAGCATGATTGTATAGAGCTCATTTGCTGTAGAACATTTACATACCAAGAGTTATATTAAAGCCGAATGCACAAATGAACATGTCATAATTTTTGTTATAATAAATATGAAATTTACACCTGATGTCTGCTTTTATGTCTGAATAGGCAGAGCAGCAGCTTTCGAACAGCAGCTTGCTGTGGTCCATCAAGCATGCAGCTCGGTTTAAACCGAGAAGTGTTGAAACTCCTCCGGCCTGCTCACAATTTTACACTAACTGCAGAAGCTCACGTGTACTTTTAGAATTTAAAGGCCATGCAAAATGGCCTTTAAAAGATACGAAACAACTCTCCGAGGAATTGACCTGTTTCTTTTTTTTCTTTCTCAGTACTAATTCAGCACTATTGATTTGCCCTTTGCCACAGTATTGACAGTGCCAGAAGACTGAAGAGGGGAGCGGTGCTCTGGCTCTCTCCCACTGGGACCCAGTAACTGGAGGCAGAAGTGATGAAGGGATAATGCGGGCTAAGAAAAGGGTGAAGGGAAACATTGGATACGGAGAGAAGAGGGAAAACAGAGGTGGAAAAGCAAACTCAAAGCTACCGATGTAAACTCAGGTTTGCTGAAATGTCTTGAATGGGCGTGAGTTCAATGGCAATTTGATTTGGGTAGCGAAAGGGCATTTTTTTGTGATTCCTGTGGGAAAGGAGCAACGCCCTTTTCAATGTTGCCTCCAACCAGTTGCTCCATTTTACTTGTCGCTCTTAAAATAAAGCTGAATTGGTGTGCGATCATGACAGCGTCTTGCTCCTGCTTGACATTTGGTCTGTATTTTGGGAGAGGACCGTGGTAACAGGCTGTTGTCCTTACTCTGTTCTAGGGTGAAATAGCCAAGTTGGGACAGGATTGCTGTGAACAAGAGATTTTGAGTTTCTTTTCCTTAAGTAATAACAGCAGAGGAGCAAACATGAAAATACCTGGTTTGGTAAATGTTTATAGCACTGTCTCCTATAGATCTAGAAGATTGTACTTATTGTAATTTGAGCTTCAAAATATCTCTTTCTTAAAGAAAACTCATTAAACAATGTATTTAAACAAAAAAAGAGTTTATGGTTTATTGGCTAGGAACTCTTAGGTGTTCTTTGGTAAACAGTTTGTATATTTCAAATTTTGTTGAATGATTTGTTTTCCTTAGTGTTCTTGGAAAGTGTTGTCTTTTTTTTTTTTTGTTCTTCTGTTCAGACGTTGCTTGATGGTGATAACTAGTGAGGACACTACCATGGCGTAGGCAAGTGATGACAAGTTTAGGGTTTCCTGAGCAAGCTGGAAAATTCTCTCTTCCTTAAAAAAAATAAGGCAGTTCTCTTCCACTTATCACCCACTGCTTGTGGAGGAGTAACCTTGCTGCTGCCGTCTGTGGTCTCCATTTGTGATAAGGGGCCTCTGGTGTGCTGTACATGGGGTACTCAGAGAGACGAGCAGAGGTCAGAGTAGAGATGGAAGGGGAACCATTTCACGTGAGCTAAACTTTGGCCCGGTGCTGAGAGCTGATGCTCTCTGCTGTGCCCTTTTCTCGCATGAACGGGATTATATGCACACAGGCTCCATAAAGACTTTCCCTCCCTTTCGTCTGGAGGACGAGACTCCCAAGAACTTGCCAGCCCCTGTGGCATTAGCAGCTTACGGGTAATGGTGTGGTTTCTCTCCTTATGCCCTTCCCTTGAAGCGTAGATGGTCAAACTCAACAGCCCACCACAGCCTGCCACTTCCAGTGTGGTACCTTCTGTGAAGTTAATGAAGGTGTTCTGGAGTCGGGGCTTCTGTAGCATCGAAGTGACAGGATTTTGGCTGAGGAGCTGTACCACTGGATTTCTGATCTGCCTGAAGACGACATCTGTGGTAGCAGCCTGTCTTAACAAGTCGTAATGTGAAGGATTGGTGCATTTGTAGGGGTGACTTCATCCCTCTACTGGGCTTTTCATAACGTGCTCAACTAGATCACTAGGTTGGATGGCTGGGACCATCTTTGGAAGGTTTAGCATTTATTTTTAAACAAGGGCAAAGGATATTTTGCTCTGGCTTTAAACTGGGACTTGGAAAACAAGGTACAGTTTTTGCAACTGATGACTTTTCTGGACATGTCTGTCCTCTTTCACAAAAGGGGGGTTAGTATGTTCTTGTGAGGACTGAAGCTGAAGTCATTGATTTCATCTAGGTGCAAAATCGTCTGTGATTTTATAATTATGCACACAGTAAAATTTACACAATTTTGACCTACTGGGAACTGTCTGACTCAAACAGAGAAGTGGATTTGTTTGCAGAACTCAACAGCTGTAGCGGGGGCAAAGGTTGAGGGCTAAAAGGAAAGGAAAGCTTTCAACTGGAGAAAATGTAGAGCCACATTACCTTTATAATCCAAACCTTTCCTGCCCTTTGAAACTTGCCGATAGCTGTATCTGAGGCATGTAGAAATGCGTGAACAGGTGGAGACAGGTGGCTGGTGGCAAAAAAAGGAATGTGTTTACATTATTTCCTGGAAGGCAAATAGGAAGCTATGATGGTATTGAGAAGTAACGGAGTTGCTTATGTGCTTGTATATCTGCGAGCCTTTTTTGTGGCATAAAAGCTTTTTTCTTGCTTTCTACCATGCGTTTTGCTGTGCATGAATAACCTGTTGATGTTCCGCTTGTGCGTTGAGCATGTGCCACCACCGGCTGCCTGTCGGTAACCAGTGCCACGGTGGCATTGCCTTCCTCTGTCTTACTGCTCTTGGAGTCCACCAACTACGTCCCTGTAGTTGTCTCCTTTGCTACTAGAGAATGTGCTGCTACTGTGGTGCTCCCTGTTACCCTTTAAGTGGTCTCTTCGTAGCGATCTTGACTTCATTACTAGCCGTCATGCTTACAACTCATATGTATAATTTTCTAGCAAATTGTATGTACTTATTTTTTTAAGCATGACTTTACCACTTTGAAAGCACATCCACAGGGGGGTGGGTGTTCATGAAGTGTCGCAGACTCCTTTGGAGGTGATTTCTGCATCTCTGCCCTAGTCACGGATGATGTCTTTTGGGTTCAGCCTTGCAGGTCTGGGCTTGCAAACGTTCACTTGAGTGGGTTGGTTGGGGTAATCTAGTGAACAGTCACCGATCTGGGGTGCAAAAGGGCTTGAATTGATTCAAGCAGAGCAGTGGGATTCAAAGGAGAACACAGAATGGTAACTTCAGCCTGGTCAGCCTGATGCCCTTGGACACTGCCTGCCACCGAGGAAGAGAAGAGCTTTTCAAAGAGGAGAAGGCGCTCGAGTCTTAACCTGAGCAGTTCTCGGCAGTGCTGTAGGGTCAGATCCCTCAGAGCTTTGGCTGCAAGGGGAGCTGCCTGGCCAGAAGTTGGTAAAAATACCTTTTGGGCTCAGCTGGGACCAGGATGTCTCGGTGTCTGTTCAATGGCTCTACGTTTACTTTTTTCTGTTAACCTGCTTTACTGTCCTGCTTTCTTAATCCAATTGACTTGCTTCAGGGCCAACTTACTGCGCTATTGTTGGATTGATTGATTTGTTTCTTACCGATTTAATTGTTACGTGCATGCTTGCACTGCTTACAGTGAGGATTTCATGGAGTGCTGCACGAACCTGTCTGTTCCTCTGGATCGCGCGCATTTCGGTGAGGGGGTACGCTGCGTCCTAGGCTGATGGTGTTACGTGTTCAAATGCCCTATGTAATGAGACTGCTGCTTCTGTGGAAGGATGAAAGTTAAAATTCATCTGCCTGAGAACAAGTAAAACCCTTCCCAGCCATTTCAATCAAAAGGGGGTGTGTGGAAAAACCCTAAATATTGCATAGATAAACAACAGCCCCAGGGCAGAATCAGTATGCTGTTAGTACAGGGCATCGGTGGGGTAGAAAGTGCCTTGTTTGCTCCCAGTCTCTGGTTTAAATGATTGGTCCCTACTTTTTCCCAGGCTTTTTTATTTATATTTCCATTCCTGTAGAGTTCAACAGTTCATCCCCTTAGATCATCCTTTCTCAGGCTGACAAGTTGGGATTCATCTGCGGTTGACTTGGATACCTCGTCCTACCTCTTATCTCCGGCAGCGAGCTCAGCTTGCCCTCTAGGTTATGACTGAGGCAGGACCTGAATGAGGCAGATGCTATCTCATCCTTTTCCATATTTTCTTAATATTGTAACCTGAAGGGAGACGCTTAATCTGCAAGAGCTCGTCGGGAGCATGACGGCTCTGTGGTGGTGAGGAAGCTGTCTTACAGTAACTGCAACGTGATGGAGAGCTGGGACAGGTGGGGCTGGTCTGCCCCCTGGCCCGGAGACCGAGGAGTGGATGAGCCCCTGAGGCTTTCTGCTGTAGGAGAACCAGAGCTCCTGGTTTCCAAGCAGAGAGCCTGGTTTTCCTGCACCTCAGGCTGGGGGGAGAGGATGGAGTCGGCAGTCCCGAGGTTGGGAGGTAGTGCCTGTCTGCCTGGTGGGTGAGGTCTAGCTGGCTCTTACTGCCCCGTCCCTCCGTTAGGGTCTCAATTCTCAGTTCTCCTGTTGCTTGTCACAGCCCCTGGCGCCCTTTTCATGTTTTCATCTGAGCTTGTTCTTCTGTGTCACTTGTCAAAACTTAAGCAAACAACCAAAAAGGGGATGTTTTCCAAGTGGTTCTGTGGGAGGCCTGTGTTTAGGGTATGTAGGTGACTTGGGGGGGGTGGGGGTGGTGGTCCCAGGGGCCAGCAGTGGCCAGGGATGGGGTTGTGGAGGCCTTTGGGAGCCTGGGTGTCAGCTGGGCTGTAGCCCTGCAGTGGGAGCCTGGGCACGAGACACGGTGCTCTCAGCACAGCAGGCTCTTCTCCCCCCTCTCGGATTAAGCACAGCTGCACCGAGAGAAATGCGTGTATTTTAACAGTAAAGTTGTCAGTATTGACTCACAGAACAGATGGAATTGTTTTGCTAATGAAATGTATGCTGTTCGATGCTTTAAGGAAAATTGGGATGCAGAACTACGAAGGAAGGCTGGTGTAGCAGAAGTATGCGACTCGGTGACTCGTGAATAAGATGCTTTTTCCTTATAATCCCTCCTAAGGAGAGAGAGGCCAGCATTTTGGAAAAAAAAAAATTGAAAAATTAAATAAAATATCTTGCAG